ATTTAAACATCTTTTTAAAATTAATAATTTTGAAAATGTTCTAATATTTTTTACATAATTCCTCTTTTTATGTAGAGTATACTGAACATAACTTTAGTTGAAAAATCATGGTCCCCAGTGTAGTTAATGTAAATGGTAACTGTACACTATATGCTATATACTCACTGGGTAGAATAGTTTAGTAATGTTCACAGGCTAGTTAAGGTAGAGGGTACTGTTTATCTTGCTTTTACTGGCACTGGATAATGTCCTTTTTGAAGTCGTAGATCTGCTTTTCTTTTTTTTTTCAAGATGGAGCCACGTTCTGTCACCCAGGCTAAAGTGCAGTGGTGCGATCTCAGCTCACTGCAACCTCTGCCTCCCGGGTTCAAGCAATTATCCTGCCTCAGTCTCCTGTGTAGTTGGGATTACAGGAACGCGCCGCTACCCCTGGCTAATTTCTGTATTTTTGGTAGAGACGGAGTTTCCCATGTTGGTCAGGCTGGTCTCAAACTCCTGACCTCATGATCTGCCCACCTCAGCCTCCCAAAGTGCTGAGATTACACCACCACACCCGGCCTGCTTTTCTTAATTTTATATCTTCTCCCTGGCTAACAGCTGTCATTTCTTGCTACAGCTTGTGGGTTTGCTGGTAGCTGTTTCTTGCTCTCATTTTGATTTTCTGCTTGTACTCTGTTGCAGCTTTGGAATACAGAGTTCTAAGACACGGTTTTCCATGTATGCGTTTTAGTGTAAGAATTTCGAGACATTTTGCTATTCATTGACTGGTGGCTTTCAATATGCCAGAAATCTGGTTTCTGGACACTCAAATTGTAACTCTAAATTGTCCAAATCTGCTATTCCACAGAAGCACTAACTTGCTTATTATATAAAGACTTGGTTATTATACCAACTAGAAAAGAAACAGAAAATTCTCATTTGTCCAAAATTTAAGCACTTTTATAATTCAAACAACTAGAATAATGCTAACAAAATCACAATCGAGAAAGCAAATTTAAGTTATGTTTGGTATAGTTTTAAATTCTGTCTGAATTTATCATATTCAAATTATTTGGAAAATATTCATCTTCATTATGGAATTCCTACTATGATCCAGGCAATGTGTGACATAATGTAAATACCAAAGGAATAAAAGATGTTTCATGTCTCTAAAGAGGTCAGCCTGGTGCTGACAGGATTGGAGGGAAGGAAGCAGAGACATAAATGAATACACGAAATGAAGTGCAATCTAACTATGCACTATGATACAAGTATGTTCAGAATATAATTGGGGCACAAAGGCAGGAGTGGTCCATTCTGTACTACTGGGCCAAAGGAATTAGGACAATAGATGAAGGGATAGGCTTCCAGAGGAGGTGAGATATGCCTTAAACAATGAGTTGCTGCTCTGTAGCTAGATCAGGATATGAATTGTATTTAGTGGCTGATGTGAAAAATTTAGAAGCTTCAGTTGTAGCTTGAACCATTGTTCAGCCAACAAGGGAAACTACAAATAATCCTATTGCGGGAAAGTGAGTGGTAAATATTGGGGATGGGAGAGTAGAGAGCTGAGATCATAAAGGTAGATTTACCATAAAGGACCTTGTATATTATGCCTAGAAGTTTGCATTTTATTCTGAAGCAGGGGGAGTCATGAAAAGACTTTAAGCAGAGAACTAATATGATTCGATCTGCACTTTCCAAAGATGCCTCTGAGGGTGAGGTAGTGGATGGAATGAAGGAAAGCAAAAGTGGAAGCAGAATGATAGATAATGGAGCTTTGGTAATGACCCAAGAAAGCAGTCAGAATCCTGAACTCAGGAAATGGGATGAAGAGGATGCGGTAGGCTTGAGCGGTGTTTAGAAACTAACCGGACTTGATGATTGATTAGATGTCAGAGTTACGCTGGCATGGGGATGAAACTTGCGAGGGAACTTCCTGAGGAGTAAAGAGTTAAGGACACCTTCAGATTCATGGCTGGAGTGACTGTGTAGGTAGCTCTCTTTACAGTGATAGAAAATTGAGAGAGCATGTTTTAGAGAAAAATAAATTCAGTCTGGGACATGTTGAGTTCAAGATACTTGTGGCCTAATTGTGTGCCTGATGAAGTAGACAGCTAGTATTTATCCAATTGAATAAATAAATGCATATTATGTTATGGAAAATTAATGTTAAAATGTATACTAACCAATAGCAAGATTCATCTCGTTAGTATTAGAAGTAAATCATACTGTGTTAAAGCAAGCTTGTAAGTGTCTCATATCTGTAATCCCAGCACTTTGGGAGGATTAGGGGGCAGTTGTTTTTGTTGTGGTGGTGCTTGGTGGGTTTGTCTCTTTTTTTGAGCCAGATCTCGCTCGTTGCCCAGGGCTGTGGAGGTACAGTGGCGCGAGCCACGCAGTCGGCGCTGCGTGGTGCGGCGATGGCATGTCTCCGCTCAGCCTCGAGTAGCGGACACAGGCGCCCGCGCCACTCGCCGTGGCCGCTAGTTTTTTTATCTTAGTAGAGACGCGGTTTCACCAGTTAGCCAGGATGGTCTCATCTCTGACTCGTGATCCGCGCGCGGCGCGGCGGGGGGCCGGCCGGTAGCGGCGTCTCGGCCTCCAGAAGTGCGGATTACAGGCTTGAGGCCAGCCGCGCCCGGCCAAGGGAGGATCTTTTGAGGCAAGGAATGTCAAGGCCGCTGCGGTGGCATCGGGTGAGACCGCGCTCTACTGAAATTTAAAAAAGTACGTCCCAGTTGGTAGGCAACACTTGTATCCAGCTCTAGAAGCTGAGGGGAAGGATTCGTTGAGTCGGACGGGAGCGCAGAGAGCGGGATTATGCACGGGGCAAAGGAGGCTTGTTCAAAAAAAAAAAAAGAAGAGAAAAGGAAAGAATAAGGAAAAAAGGTGAGACTCTGTCTCAGAAACAGAAGAAGCGGCGAGGGAGAGCGGGTTCGCGGGGAATAGGACAAGGGAGAGAGGGCAAATGGCGGAGTTTCAGGGGTGAGGGGGTAGAGCAACGGGTCTCACGGATCTCTATTCGGCAAGCGGCGGAGAGCAGCAGGCGGGTACAGTTGCGCTGCTAAGGGTGCTGAGGAGGGCGTTGCACGGCGCCTGCTTTACGTTGTCTTATCCAGTTTCTGTTTTCCTAGTTCTTTGTATTGTGTTTTGGACGCATGTTTTTGTCTGCACTTTTTTTTTTCGTTATCTAGCTTTCCTATTCCTTTTCTTCCTCTATTTTTTTTTTTTTCTTGCGAAACAGGCAGACGCTCGGTGCACTTAGCTTATTTCATGCTTTCACCATATCTGTCGACTCTATTACATCACAGCTCTCTGCTCAGACGCGCTATAGCCCTTTCAGACTCAAGCGAAGTCAACTACCACCTCAGTCTTTATTTGATGTGCTACCTCATGGTGGCCTGAGGCGTAGCTGCGAATACTACTACAAGTATAAGTGTGGGGTATTATGCTACCACTTTATATGTACCCACTAACTGACACTGCGTGGCATACTTTATAATAATGTTATTCTGTAGTAATGAGATCAACTCCCACGTACCTCAGATATCCTATCACCGGTGCGCACTCGCTAGTAGATGCTGAGCGTGCTGCCTGAGGTTCTTGGCTCAAAAGATGATCTCTCCCCCGCTATCATATCCTCAATCTCCCTTTGGTCTATGCGGCGCTATCCCGGGTGTACATCAGCTGCTTAGATCAGCAGTCAGTTAGGGGTGGTGGTCTCTCGATGCTTGCTTGCCGAGTTTTCGCGGGATGCCGGTCGTGAGTCTATGGGATAGTGCGGTACCTAGGTGCAAATGAAGATTATATCGATTTGTATTATTGGCAGTAACAAGTCATCGGAAACATTTCAGTGTTAGCGTACAAGGCATGGTAGTATCATCGCGGATGTCTCAGGTCAAGATGA